CTCAATATTAATGAGTATTATTAGGGAATTATGGTTCTGCTGGTTTATATGACACATGCAAATTAGAAAAAAGGCACTCCATGCCACATTTATTTATGTGGTGGCCCATGGAGAACTGATCTTCTCTCACTTTATTTTTTAAAAATTTTTTTAAAAGATTTTATTTATTTATTTGAGAGAGAGAGAATGAGAGACAGAGAGCACGAGAAGGAAGAGGGTCAGAGGGAGAAGCAGACCCCCAGCTGAGCAGGGAGCCCAATGTGGAACTTGATCCCGGTACTCCAGGATCATGACCTGAGCCGAAGGCAGTTGCTTAACCAACTGAGCCACCCAGGCACCCTTCTCTCACTTTAGACATGAGATCTAAATGGAAGTTGAGATCTTTTTTTGTGCGTCAAAATGATTGGCATACATAGTCTCAGTAAGATCAATCGGAATCCTTCTAGTCCTTTTCTAATTTGAGTGGGGTCAAGTTTTCTCTGATGGTAAAATGTAATGAGGTGAGTCTGTAAGCCAGAAGCAGCAACATCCCACTCTGGGAGTAAAGACTAATATAGTAGAGGAAATTAAGCTAACATGCAGAGAGAAAGAATGGCCATGATTTAGTGCACAAAATCCTCACAGTTAGCCTAGTTCTTGAAGCTTGGTTGTACAATTCTGGTGGTAGATCCTTGAGATCCGTTTCTTTCAGATGGATCCTTTATTTGGCTGTGCATAAAAATCACCTGGCTGGTTAAAATACAGATTCTGAAATCCCACTGCCCATCTCATGAAAGAGAAGCTCTTCCGGTGGGATTCGGTCAGGTGTATTCAAAGATAACCGTCTAGGCAAGCCTGTCTACTAAAGGTTCTAAAGATGTGTGAAGATCATATAGTGGGCATAATGGGTTTAAATGGCTTCATATAACATGTCTGTCCATTTAAAAATAGCATTCCCCCATTCTGCAAACATTTGTTAAATGTCTACAATGTGCCAGACACAATGCTAGGTCCTAGAGGTACAAAGACAATTAGGTCTCTTAGATAGATGTTTTATTCTCTAGTTCACACTTAAGAAGATGTTCTGTTCAGACACTATTAAAACTTTATGTCCCCAAACACAAAATTATGTCATTTGTCAAAACTGTTGGTTTTCAAAAACCATCTAAAAAAACTAGAAAAAACTAAAGGCTGCCAGATTCCTTAAAGTCTTAAAGCATTTTAAAATTCCGTTTTAAATACAAGTTTTTAGAAATAAATTTACTTATTTTGTAGTTACTGCACGCACACACTATATTTTAACACTGAAAATACATACACAGGACAATTTCAAGTAGAAATCAAATTAGATGACACGGAGTGACTTAGTCCTGTACCGGGTAAAGGGAAAAAAGTCTTTTTTAATTTTCCTCGGCATTTCAGGAATCAACCTAAATTTTCCAGAACTTTTACAAAGCTAGGGCACACTTTTGCACACCACTTTGGCCTTCGGGCCTTCAGCAAGGTAGGGCTCTGCCCCGAGGAGAAAAGGACGGGAGGGACAGGTGGGAAGGAGCTACGGGCAAGGAGCCTGCGGGCACTCACCCAACAGCTCCAAAACTCCGCGGCGGCGACCCCCACTGCGGCCTCACCCCGAGAACTGGGCGAGGCGCTCGCTCCTCCCTTGGTCCCACAGCCATCACCACTCCCACGCCGGAGCGGCACGCTACGCTCTCTCTGTCCGCAGCGCCCCAGACACCACGCTCCCTCCTCGGCTCCGACCACTCTCAAAACTGAGCTCACGGCTCGGTTTCCCCAACTGGCCAGGCTTCAGACGTACCCCGTGACGCCCCTGCGCGTGCGCCCCGCTCCCTCAGCCCCAGCGCGGGTATCCCAATCCCTCGCCCCCCTGCGCGTGCGCCCCGCTCCCCAGCCCCAGCGCCGGTAGCCCATTCCCTCGCCCCCCTGCGCGTGCGCCCCGCTCCCCAGCCCCAGCGCGGGTATCCCATTCCCTCGCCCCTCTGCGCGTGCGCCCTGCTCCGTCAGCCCCAGTGTGCATTCCACCCCCTGAACCTCCGCCGCTTGCGGCCCGCCTCTTCAGGCCGCGGTGGTGGCGTCTCGTCCCCTTCAGCTTCACGCAGTGCGCCCCGCCCCCCTCAGCCCCTGCCCGTGCCTCCGGACTTCTCAGCTTTTATCCTCCATACCCCCACCTCCTTCCGCTTTCCCTTAGCAAGCCCTATCCCTGCCCATGCACCCTACACCCTTGGTCTCCCACCGTTTTTTTTTTTTTTTTTAAGATTTTATTTATTTATTTGAGAGAGCACATGAGAGGGGGGAGGGTTGGGAGGGTCAGAGGGAGAAGCAGACTCCCTGCTCAGCAGGGAGCCCGATGCGGGACTCGATCCAGGGACTCCAGGATCATGACCTGAGCCGAAGGCAGTCGCTTAACCAACTGAGCCACTCAGGCGCCCGGTCTCCCACCGTTTTTGTCCGCCTTTCTACTTACCTGTTCTCTATATCCTGCAACAGGTCCTCTTCTTGTGAGGCCCTCTTGCGCCATGCCCTCTTTATCCATTTACACCGGTTAACACTACCCATCCTTGATTAATGTATTACCTACGTATGCTTCGGAGATTGAATTCGTTTGTGTGTGTGTGTTTTCTTCTTCAGTTTAAATTTTTAGTTTTTGGATGCCGGAGGACATGGTGTTTCTCTTCCCTAAAATGAATGGAATGGAAATAAACCTCTAACAAAAGAGAAAAAAGGCAAGGGTCATGAGTGGATTAATAATATAAAAGATTTGAAGTTGTAAACACAACGGAAGTGTGTTGACAAATGAAAACAAGAGAAATCAGGGGCGCCTGGGTGGCTCAGTCGTTAGGCGTCTGCTTTAGGCTCAGGTCATGGTCCCAGGGTCCTGGGATCAGCCCCACATGGAGCTCCCTGCTGGGTGGGAAGCCTGCTTCTCCCTCTCCCACTCCCCCTGCTTGTGTTCCCTCTCTCAGTGTGTCTCCCTCTGTCAAATAAATAAATAAAATTAAAAAAAAAAAAAGAAAACAAGAGAAATCAACTGTCACCATGCAAGTAAGAGGGGATACACTAGATCTGGGTGCAGATTTTCTCAGTGGAGTCCTGGAGAGGCCCAGGACTTGGAGTTCGCATGTGATTTGGAGATCTTAAAAATATGGGGGGGGGAATATATATGTTAATTATATATATAAAAATACATATTTGTATATATATAAATACATACATATATGTAATTTAAAAGTATCTAGAATAGTTGTGCCAGTCAGGTAGGGTACAGTACCCAGATGACTCCAAGTGTAGAATCCTCAGACATTAGAAAAGCCTGCAAGTGCTTAAAGCCAGAGGATGCTTTTTTAAAAAGGAGCCCTTAGTGGGGCAAGAACACTTTGAAATGAAAAATACCATTGCTTAAAAGAAACAATTAAGGGCTGGAAGACAATATGGAGGCTCTATCTAAGAATATAGAAAAAAGAAAAAAAAAAAAGAATATAGAAAAAAGAAAAAAATAGGGGAGAAAACAACTTACTAATGTAGGAGATCTCACATTTGAATAATAGTAAATACAGGAGAGAACAGGGGAAGATAGAGGGGAGCAGTTATTAAATAATTGGGTTGGGTAACAGGATGAATACAAGTCTTACACCAAGACTCCTCCTCATGAAATGTATGAACCCCACGCATAAAAGGAAAAAGTCTTGAGGGGAGGAGAGAGCTGGGTGTGTTCATGTTTGGAGTGGAAACTGTTTACCTACAAAGGAATGCTAATCAGCAACCCCGGATGTTAGGAGACAGTGGAATAATATACTATTTAGAGTGGATTCTGTAGGCAGACAATCCCTTCAGTGTGAAGTAAAAAGAAACACTTTGAGCCAAGCAATTACTCAGAAACTTTACTCCCCACTCTTGCCTAGAAAGTTACTTGTGGTTTCACTCTAGCAAAAAGAGGACAATAACCAAGAAATAGGAAGATACAGTATACCAGAAAAAGTAGAACCCAGGCATGTAATAAAATGAAATACCAGGATTATGTTGTATAGAATATTTAGAAAGCTATCTGCCCAAATCTATGTTCATAGAATGAAAATAGTTTTCTTGAATTATGATTACCCAGTATTGGTATCAAGTTTATATGATTGTTTATATGATTGTTAGTATCAAGGTTATATGATCTCATAAAATGAGTTTGACAAAATTTGTAGTTTTTATATTTTCAGGAAAAATTTATAAAATACAGATTCCTTGAAAATAGTTAAAACTCATCTAGGCCTTTTTTTTTTTTGTAGCATCAGATGGGATGAGTTTTGATTAACATTACCATTTAAAAAATAGTTATTAATCATAGGTCTCTTGCATTTTTGCATGACTTGCAAACAGAAGCACTAACTGCCTTTTTGTTTTGGACTATTTTTGCAAGGCTGATTGTAGAGCAAACAGCCTCGAAGAGCGATCATATCTCCCTCTGGACCAAAGGAAACATTTACTGCATTTTTAGTATAATGAGAATGTTTCCTTCCAGAGCAAAGGTAGAGCAGGTTTATTTATGGCCCATTATAAAAGATTTGGGTTCCATAAACCCAGGGTTTCTCTCCTGTAACACAGTCCACTGAATGTACAGGAATTATCTGGCTCTCTTTGTGTTGCCTTGTGAGAATTAGGATTAAAGGACTGGCACAAATATAATCTCTGACTACTGCTATTGCTGTAACAAATTCCTGTGACTTTGACCCAGGATTCCACTGTCTTCTGCCAGTACTCGTGAAACTGTGGTAGGGCCAACTTGATAACTTTCAAGTAGGGTAAAATCTCAGATCCTTTACAGTTCAGTTCTTCACAACAGGTCACTTATCTTCATCTCCAAAGATTACAAATTTTCTTCTTTGGGGGTTCAATTTGTATATACACATGTGCACACACACAGAAAAATACAGAGGCAGAGGGAGAAGTCCCTCTGTGTATCTAATTGTAGGAAGCAATCTAGACAAGACATAATGGTCACTGGTTGGAACTGAATCTCATAGCACTTTTATTTCTTGAATACTTTCTGTTTTATCAATATTAGCAATGGTCAGGAAGACTTGCTCCAGTGTTATCTGACTGACAGAATAGTCTTCTAGATTGAATAGCACTTTAGCTTCCTCCAAAATACTAAACACCTTTAACAGAAAAAAAAAAAAGATGGTATTACCATTGTAATTTCCCCAGTGACCTTTTCCCCACCCAGTCATTCCCCAACTCCTGCCAGGCGTATGCTTAGAGACAAAAAGACACAGAAGGGGGAAGCTAGAAAGTAGAAGGAAAAGATGGTTGAAAATAGAGAGGAGGCAGTTTCCCATCCTCATTCTCTTGATAGTATGGAATAATAGAATTTAGGGTCATAAGTCTCAAACTATAGGGGCCTTTGGAAAATAACAAAGGTTCTTCTCTGCCAATGTCAGGTTTCCATTCCATATGCTTGAATCTCAATGCCTCCTTCTATCAGTCCTCTATTACACATAATGCTAGAAGAATCTGATTTCTAAAATCACCTTTCCCCAGCAGATTTCCTTTTTGGGAATGTAGTAGCTAATAATCCCTCGATGCTCCTGGTGTATGATGTTACCTAAGAAAGGAAAGTAACAGAAAGGGCCCTGTATGTGATAAGAGTTTTACAAAATTCCCAAATAAATACCATTCCAATTGTTCATACTAATGGAAGAGAGAATATATGTTAATACAAAAGACAACATAATCCCAAAGCCCATTCTCTTTTAGTATATTGTCACTTTGTTAAATATTTCAATAGATTTACTTCCACGTGAAGTATGGTCTTAATACCTATAGTTTGTAAAAATTACAGAGGGTCAGATAATCACAGCAAGCTCATACACTTACTTTGCGAAACCTGACTTATATGAATCCTAATGTTCCATTGTCCTGAAACTGCTCATAAAATTTGGGTGTGGTTTCTTTCTCCAGGTGTGTGTGTATGGGTGTGTGTGTGTGTGTGTTTAGGGTAGGATCTCTACACTATTCTTATGACTAGGCAGTCTTCATCCTAAAGGAAAGAAAAAAATCGTAATAATAAAACACAAATGTGAAGGCATTCACCAGGGAAATGGGATATTACAGCTTCTGAAAATACAGTAGTAATACTGTAGCCATTCCTAATTGATAGGATGCACTTATATGTATTATCACACAATTGAAGATAATTGCAAATGGAATTAATTGGAATTAAAATATTTTTTAAAAAGTACATATCAATAATACTGATTTTATCTTGTCGTTAAGTCCCTAAATATCCTCCATGAGGTAAAATGTAAAACTTTTCAAATTGGGAAATACACCAAACATAAACTATGTAATATGTATGGAACATAAATGTACACTGTATGTGACAATGGTACCTATGCTTGTAGTAAGCGTAGCATAAGGAACAGCGATGCTGAATCTCTATGTTGTACAACTAATATTAATGTAACATCGTGTGTAAAATGTACTCAAGTAAGAAAATTAGACACACATGCAGGAAAGTGAATAATGATGAAAATACTAACATAAAAACTTTTGGAATGCAGCTAAAACTATCTAAGAGGAAACTTTATGCTTTATATTATAAAAGAGGAAAGATTAAAACTAAGTAAGTTAATTATTTAATTAAGAATTTAGAAAGGGAGGGCGCCTGGGTGGCTCAGTCGGTTAAGCGACTGCCTTCGGCTCAGGTCGTGATCCTGGAGTCCCAGGATCGAGTTCCGCATCGGGGTCCCTGCTCAGCGGGGAGTCTGCTTCTCCCCCTGACCCTCCCCACTCTCATGCTCTCTCTATCTCATTCTCTCTCTCAAATAAATAAATAAAATCTTTAAAAAA